TCATAGAACTGGTCTCGGCCCATCGATCCAGCCTGACCAGATCCCTCTGTAGAGCCTTCCTACCCTCAAGCAGATCAACACTCCCATCCAGCTTGGTGTCATCTGCAAACTGACTGAGGGTGCATTCGATCCCCTTGTCCAAATCATCAATGAAGATGTTAAACAGAACTGGCCCCAACACTGAGCCCTGAGGAACACCACTGGTGACCGGCCGCCAACTGGATTTAACTCCATTCACTACCACTCTCTGGGCACGGCCGGCCAGCCAGTTTTTCACCCAGTGAAGGGTATTCCTGTCCAAGCCATGAGCTGCCAGATTCTCCAGGGAAACGCTGTGGGAGACAGTGTCAAAGGCCTTGCTAAAGTCCAGGTAGACCACATCCACAGCCTTTCCCTCATCCACCAAGCGAGTCACCTGGTCATAGAAGGAGATCAGGTTGGTCAAGGAGGACTTGCCTTTCATGAATCCATGTTGGCTAGTCGTGATACCCTGATTGTTCTGCACACGCCTTGTGATCTCACTCAGGAATATATATGTGTGTACACATACATGTATATGAGTATATGTATGACTACGCAAAAACACCTTCCTATATTTGAAATTTTGCAAAAGACTAAGATTCTGAATTATTAAAAACAAGATACAATTACCTATTGGATTAAACTCATGCATCCTCATGCCTGGAGGCAATTTCTTCTCCTCGATGTGAATATTCTCTATCTTCTTATCAGTTGTATTTGTTACTGTCACTTGCACAGACACCATACGATCACCAAAAATGCCTGGCTGTCTTGAGAAGCGATAATGAGCTGCTAATCCTTTTCCACTCATTCGATGTAGCAGTTCATGTGTTTTTGTTGGCACAGAGACTTGGGTAGTGACCTGTTAAGTACAAAACAACAGTTGGTGAATGTCGTAAGCAAACAACATAAAAAATTACCATTAAACATCCTACTTTTCACGCAGCTAGAGCGCCTGCTTTCAAGTCGGAATTTCAGTGAACTAGAAATATGTAAGGACATATTCAAATCCATAAACAAATTCCAGTAATAGCTATCAGATAACAGAGCCTAAAAATAGTATTTCTGGTGCTGAGAAACAGCAGCTTTAACTTTGTTGTATTTGCCTCACTTTCCATTACAAATTTGTTTTCAATATTTTAACTCTACAGTTATCCATTAAACTATGAGAGGTTTTTTTAGGAGTTACAGTTAAAATAATTATGTTGTTTCCAGCAAGAAGTCTCTTTCCACTCTATGCATCAGAACTCAAGGGTGACCCCAGGCCCAGTGCGTACTGTGAAGCTATAGTGAGAACTTTCTTCTCCTTCTCTTGTTAAAACCACAAAATTGTTGCCTAACAATTACACCAGTCAAATACTAAAACCACAGTTGTATAGAGAAGGATGTTGCCAGTTCTTTAATAGTCTTGCTGCCACAAGCCGTAAGAGAAATCGCAAGGGTGTTTGGGTCCATTCTATCCTGAAAAGTAGCATGAATAAAAGACATGCAGTATGCAAATTCCTAGAAGATACTGCTGATATGGAAATCCATAATCATGAGCTCAAAAGTGCAAAAGTAGGGAATATGCAGAAAACTGCAGAAAAGAGAATTAGAATTCTTTAAACAAGTTTTAAGGAAAGGCTCAGAAATTACATGAAAAGCAACACCACACAAACAGAACACAGAGGTTGAAAAAGCCAGATGCTCAGGACGAAAATCCTACTTGTCTTGTCAATGCACTATGCGCTACTGAACTTTATAGTATATCTGTCAGATATATTGGTTCATCTGTTTCCACTGATGGGTGTCCATCTTCTCCTGCCCTACCCATAGCCCTGAGTGTGTAACTAAGTAAAAGAGACAACTGCAAATAGCAGGATGTTCAAGACTCCAAGGAGCTAAGCAAGGAGAATGGGTTTTTATCTTGCCTTCCCTACAAAACTCTTACAGGTCGCTACCTTTTCCTAACCACCACATTTAACATCAAGCGGCTGATCTGAAGACTTAGTGAACACTTCCAGTAATATAAGAAGCTGGTAAGAGCTAGGATTTAAACCCACAAGGTGTTACAGAAATGGGAGAGGATCTGGAAAACATAAGGCTGTAAAGAATCCTGTTGAAAAATTTTAGAATTAGCGAGTGTGTAACAAACTTGATCTTCATCTCTGAGTACCAGTTTCTGAACTGGAAAGCCAGGCTAGTAATACCTATCATCACCTCAACTGAGTATCTGTAAAGATCAACTATTAAATGTTTAGAAGTGTGAGCACTTGGATGAAAGCTAAAGAAAACCACATGAGGAACTGAGTGAGTGTGTATTCAGATGTGGCTTTGGAAGGTGCATTGTTTTACACATATCTTACTGAATGAAGAATAAACAATGAAGGAAAAAAGGCAGAAAGGCTTCCCATCCCCTCAAAACTCAACCACTATGTGACTATAATTAGAACAGCACATACAGACATGATCAAGCAAACAACTCCACAAAAACTTCCACATCAGATTTCACTTTCTAATTTTTACCTAGTGTTTCTTTCTCTAATACATAAAAAACTCTGGTATCAGGTTTTTTTAGAGACAAGTTAATGATCTACCACTAACCTTCAGTGTGAAGACTTAAGGCAGTTTCAAAATATGTCTGAACTGAGGAAATTCCACAAACTCAACTTTGAACCTGTACAACTTATTGACAATTTTAAAGTAAATTGCTGAAGTTCAGACATTTTCTTCCCCCTAAAAAGATAACGTAATATCCTCAGGGACAACATTTCTAATTTTTGTATATGATCAGAAGAAATTACAGCTGTTTACAAATATTTACATTTCTGTCCCTCTTCAAATAATAGCAGCAATAACACTTGAAGAATACAGGCACTGTATTTTTAAATAGATTCAAATTTTTTCAGTCCAATTATTGACCTCTGACAAGCATGAAAATATCTAATTCTTTGTCCAAGAACACAATTCAGTGAAATTTTACAAACCCCATAATGACCGGATATCTTTTTACTCCAATGCCACTTACATGCATAAATATATGATAAGATTATGGTTACTTTTATGTAGCTTATCTTTAAAATATATTTGTAAAATAATGACTCCTGTGGCATTACATGACCAGATTTCTGCCTAATGCAAAATGAATGGAAAAAGTATGAATCGCATGGACCTTCACAGTTCCTCAAAATTCAAAATACCTTTGAGTACAAAACCCAAACTTTAATAGATTAATACTCTGCTTAGATTTCTAGAAATAATTGCAAGGTCAAACTCTCAAAAAAAGAGTCAGTTGTCAGGAAATAAGAAAGGAGGTACTTCAAATAATAAATATCTTCTTGGTACATAAAGACAACAGCTGCAAGAGGTTATTAGCAGAGTCATAGTAGCACCTGTTACTTACACCATTGCTGAAATAATGAATAAAACTTCAGTTTTAAGATGTAATTTAAATCTTATTTTTAAGTTTAAGCTTAGCTTTTAACTTTTAACATTTAATTCAATTTGAGCTAGACATGCATAATAGAAGTGTTATTTCATGAAATAGTTCAACCATTTTTCATTAACAAGCTTAGGAAATGTGTTTTATTCATGTTAAAACAAGTATTTTGAAGTACACTAGCTTCTCTGTGTTAACATATACCTGGTTTTATTAATACTATTTATTAATAACATAAAAAGTTAGTAGTCAGAAATCCAGCGTAGATAAATATGCATACATATACAGCAAAAATCTCTTATTATACTTAAGTTGTAACACTGACTCAAATTTTACTGAAAACTTTTTGTGATTTTTAGAGATTTGAATCTATGCTCCTTTCAGCATTACTGCTAATGTTTCAGTCATAATTTCACCCATGAGCCCATTCACTTTTATTTGCAATATCATACTATACAGAGCAACAGACACACAAAGGACAGTCAGAATAATGATATTATGTTTAAACAATCTTCCTTCCTGTAGAACATTAATTTTCAGTTGCATTTAATGTGGCAGTACTAGAAATTAATAAAAAGTATATATGCTGAACAAAAGAATCTAGTTCTGGAAAATGGAAATTCTCAAGCCTTACTTGCCAGCAAGGGTTTTGTGCTGGCAAAGGTTGGTGTACCATAATGCAGTCTAATTAACAGTTGCATCAGCCTGGTAAACAGAGTTTTTTTGTTTAAATTCTAAAATCTTTAATGCATACAATTGCAATACCCATAGGGTAGATACCTGCAATCACTCTGGGGTTAAAATAATCCTCCACAGAGTTAATAGAACAAGAAGTATCTATTAACCAGGAGATAATCCCCTACAAATCTTGCACAGCATATGTTTAAATAATAGAAGTCGTTTGTGTACCTTTGGATGGTTTATGAAAATAACCAATCAATTCTGCAGACACAACATTATTTCTAAAGGAAATCTATGTGACTCATGATGCCTGCAGATACACAGAGACAAACCACACATATTTTATCAGTTTATTACAGTAAGCAAATAAGCGTGGAATGAGAGTGCACATAACTGTCTACTTAACGCTTACTGAAACATTTATAAGAGCTGTTATCTCCCTAATAACAGACAGACAGTGTGCAATTTTAGTGAGGAGAAAAGCTTCATATTTTTTAACACTTCACTAAAAAGTAACTGAAGAGTGTAAAATGAAAAATACTCTGTGCAGTTAGCTGGTAATGGACCATATTATCAACTCAAGTTAGATTTATAGGATACAAACTAGTCACTAATAGTTATTTTATGACACAGCATGTCTGCTTTTTTTGGGTGAAGATTATTAAGATTAAACTTGCAAAACTTACCTTTTTTTTTTTTTTACACAGCTGTTTAGAATGACAGAAATAAAAGAATTAAATACAGGCTCTCCTCCCACCCCATTTTGACTGAAAGCCACCATGAATTAAAAGTCAGCATAGGGACTCCACAGTGATATCATATGGGAACACTGTATTGATATGAGTCAGACTGGCCCCCACACTAACTGCACATGTTGAAAGATGATCCAGCAGCCTAAAAGAAACTGCAAGTATTTTTAAACTACTTCTTATGTAAGAAGAAGAAGGGTAACATTAGGATTTTGCCTTAACAGTCTCCCACTCATTAAACACGCAAAGGGGAATGTGTAAGATGACTGACATTTGGCTTGCTTTATCACAAGAGAGCTGACTAGTTACAACTCACTGAATCGTCTGCCATGAACATGCTTCTTTTTGCCAGCTCAATAAGTCTTTAAAAATTAAGGTTAAGTTAACACAAAAAACTACTTTCCATAATTATTTAAAATAAAAAGCACTACAAGGCTTATTAAATCTACAGAAAACAGAGCTGGACAGGCTTTCCTGTATTAATTATTATTATTATTGTTATTGAGCAGAAAGTTACGTCTGTTGTCTTTTTTCTTTTGTATTTGCTCCTTAGCTTAATAATGCTGTAATAATAACCATAGATTAATTTTTGATCCCATTTCAGAAATGTGTATATGTTTGGATAAAACATGTATTCTTGGAAAAAAATATTTGCTTCCAATAATGCTGATAATTATAGATCTATTCCTCTAATTTGCATTCTGCTAAAGCGGTGGACTGAATAATTTAATCTAAGTAGCCCTTCTACTGCCCTCCTATTGGCAATATCCATGACATAATCCAAGAATTACTCACTGAGCTGTGAGAGCTATATCCTCTCTTAGACTCACTGTAAGGTTATGCTCCAGTAACCCTGCAACAGCTAAGAGAAGGACTATCATGTAGCCCAGCCACATTTAAATGATCTTTCAACCGAAGCTATGAGAGCAACTTAACCATAATTTTATAGCATTAGGAGAAGCTGGAAAACCAGGCAAACAAAGGAAGGACAACTACCGGCAGGAAACAGTATAT